CCACACTGTCCTTTGAGAGGTGAAGCTATTCTCTAGGGACAGAACATCTGCTGATTCAGGCTCATTTCCTTTCCTGGTTGTCAGATGGCAAACCCACAGGCCAGTCACTGAGTTGCTAAAGGTTGAGATGAGAAAGAAAGCCAGGAGCCTGTCCCAGAAGCAAAGCCCCTTCAGTTCTGGGCAGAAGCCATGCAGTGGGTCTGCCTGTTCGTCCTCCTACTTCCTGGCTGCACAGGTAAGAGCGGCCTTAGAGCCTCAGAAGAGCAGGACCTGCAGCAACTGGGCCAGGTGAGCCCAAGAGAACCTGAAACATCGTCACCCCCACAGATCCCAGCCCAGCACTGAGCACACCACAGAAGCCAGGGGATGTTTGCCCAGTCGTTGGGTGAATGAATAAATGACTCCCCTGATGAAACTACTCTGGGAGAGTTGGTGGGAAGACTGAAACGGAAGGGAGCTCTGCAATCCCACACAGATACCTCAGTCCGTTGACACACGATATGGCTCCTCAATTCCTCTGTCTTACTTTTATCTTAATTTTGTTTTTCCAGAATCAGCCAGATGCCTGTTGGAGAAACAAAAGATGTTTGTTCCTTTTAGGAGAATCAAATGACAGGTTGGGAAATGAACAACCATGCCATATACTGGTATAAGAGGAGCCAGGATGGCTCCCAAGATACCAACTAGGAGACTTCTGTGACCCTGGTCTCCAGAGCAACATTATTCATAGAAGCCAATTCTCCCTGGAGATTCTTAAAACCACCACAAAAGAGGAGGGGACTTATTACTGTGCTGCCCTACGCATGGTGCCACTCTGCTGCCTCCAGAGAGGCCACACACCAAGCCCTGCCCCTCTTACCTTCCACACTGGTCAGCTGACCCAGTGCCAGTCTAACTGTAGATCAATCACAAGGCGTATTCATGTCCACTATTTCATGACCACATGAAGCAATAGTATCCCCCATTTTATTGTTTAGAAAATTGAGGCCTGGAGAGGTTAAGAGATTTGCAGTAAGGATGGTGTCAGATGCAAATCCAGACTTGCCAAGCCTAAGTACAGTGGCCTCTGAACTACAGTACTTTCAAGAGGCACAGCTCCCTCTTGAAAACTAGAGAAGGCATGAAAAAAGAAGACCCTCAAGTTCCAGGAACCTGTCCAGCCCGGTCTTGTAGGTGGTATTCTGTCTGAGGCCCGTCTGAGCAAAGGTAGAGTTACCCAGCTGCCTGCTCTTAACAGTCTGTGAAAATTCAAAGTGAATGAGTTCAAGGAAATGAGTTCAACTGAAAAACAGAAAAAGCAGCTCTCTGCTCGAGGTTATGGGGATTGAAGGCTGAAACATGAATGCAAGGGCTTGGTAAAGTCCCTAACACCTCAAGTCATTCCTTCCTTCTGTTCTCAATGAGGCCAATGAACACATCTTCTTCTATTGCCATGTAGTCTGTTGGTTGATTTGCCTGGGACCCCCAAGCTGCACCATGGCCCTGGAAATGGAATGTTACCTACCTCAGCCTTATAGCCATCTCTAGACGTCTTACACTAACAGAAAAGCAAAAGTGTTGGTAGCAGTTCACCTGTTAGGGTCAGCAGCGTCCTTCTTAACCCTCCTCTGTCTGGGTCAGGATGAAGGGAACAAAAGTTCCTGTAATGATTTAGTTCATCTTTAAAGTCACAACCCAAAGGCCTGGGGTCATTCCTGTGGCCATGGTCTTGGGAATGAGCTCCTCACTGGTCTTTCTTAGTTCTCCTTATATGTCTTAAACAGCAACCCACATTCCAGTCAGACATCCTTGGGGCAGAAGAAATAATTTCACTTCAATCAGCACTTCTGAGGAGCAGTATGGGTTCCACACAGTGCTTTGGGGGGATTACACAGGCGATAAAGACAGACCGAATAATAAGTGTAAGGCAGCACTTGTACATGGTAAAGCATACAAAGGTAACTTCAGAATTTCTACAAATGAGGGGCTGGGGGATAGCAATCTCATTGGAAGATCCCTCAGGAACTTGCCTTGAGGCTGTATTTTCATAACATATAAGATTGGGAAAGTGTCAAAAAATGGTAAACTAATGGAGATTATAGGGAAGAATGGATAAATCTCTGCAAACCACTTTTGCCTCAGGCAAATATCCTTGTTTTTATAAAAAGATATCAAAGAAGGAGGAAACTAAAAAATAGCCAAGCAATGAGCCAAGTGTTTGCAAATAGTACCTCAATTACTCCTCCCTGACTGAAAAGAAACATTAATTCTCCTTGAAAATTAGGTGAAAGAACAGACATCCCTCAGGTCATGGAAAGTTGCAGCCTAATTGCTGGCCTTGACAAAGAGTCAGCACAAAGAACACAGCGTGCACGGAACCTGAGAAAGGTGGGGTCCAAGGGCAGGGCCGTGGCGCACTTTTCTGCTTCCCACCCAGGCACCCTGAGAGAGAGCTACATTTGTGCTCAAGTGCCATCTTGCTCCTGCCCTGTGACCAGGAAGACCAAGGGGTCTCTGGGAGGTCCTGACTCTCCCGGACCAGGCATGGCACAACTTCTAGCCACACTCTTCCCCAAGCTTCCACCAGATCATAAATGGTTCCGTCCAGACTACTGTCTTCTAACCCTGGCTTTGATTTATTATTAATGTTGACTCACTCCTAGTCAGGCCTAGAGAAAGGTTGCTTTTGCCCATTAGCAATCAACTCTTAAAAGTGCTTCTAACCAGTGTGGCAGATAAAAGTCACAGTATAAACATAAGCACATTCTTGGGATTTTTCAGAATGGCTTCCCGAATAATTTGGAAGAGTCAAACAGTAATTATCTAGGAAGACAGGCTTCTCTGAGCCCAGCTAATGGTTCTTTTGATGCTAGGGGAACTTGAAGCCCACAGCACTTCCTCCTGCCTCAGGGTTTTTTTTTTTTTTTAACATAGCCTCACTTTTTATATAGAATAATCTTGCCCTAAGCATGCCCCGTTATACCTGGTGTATCAGGCGAAGTCGCAGCACGAGACAGAGGATCTTGAAGCACTGATTGAAGAGACTCTAATCAAAGGGGCATTTACAAAGTAAGGACAAGTGTTATGGATTAAATTATGTCCCCCCACCCCCCAAAAAAATGCTGAAGTCCTCACCTCCAGTAGCTTGGAAATTGACTTTATTTGGAAATAAGGCCATTGAAATTGATGCAATTAGTTAAGATGAGGGGAGGCTCCAGTAGAATGGGCCCCACATACAATATGATGGACCTCTTTATAAGAAGTGGTCATGTGAAGATAGAGATGCAGGGAGAACACCGTGTGACCAGGAGGCCAGCAACTGAAGTGATGCACCCACAAGCCAAGCCCAAGACACTAAAGTGTGCGGTGAACCACCAGAAGTTAGGAAGGGACAAGGAAGGATTCCCTACAGGTTTCAAACAAAGTGCAGCCCTGCTGGCACCTTGATTTCGGACTTCTAGCCTCCAGAACCATGAGACATTACATTTGTATTGTTTTAAACCACCCAGTTCGTGGTTGTTTGAGGCAGTTATAGGAAACTAATGCAGCTGGGATATGGAAAACCAAAAAAAAAAAAAAAGGTGAAACATCCTGGTAGTGACTACAAACAAACCACTACTGCCCTAAACCTGAAGCATGGCGTCAAGGATGCTGCAGGGATAGGAGAGAAGCTGTAGTCTCCAGCGGAGGAAAGCAGCCTCTGCCAATCTGCAGCCTGGCAGAAAGGAATGTGGGATAGTAACACCATACCTCACCCTCCTCCTTCTCTTCAGTCTCCTTATGGTACCCCCCCGCCCCAACTGGCCAAACTAAATGGAATACCAGAGATAGGGGGGACCAGGTGGATGTTGTCCATTAAGGTCAGACTCCTAGAGTAGGAAATAGAGTAGACTTGACGGGACAAAAATGACACCATGTAGCATTGCTGGGTAACTTTTGCTTTTGAATCTCATCTTGCAGTTTCTTCTTTAGGGAAGGCTTCCCATACCAGATCCTGGCCCCAGTGACATTCTCTCATAATACTACTGCTTCTACGGAGTGCTTATGTCAGCTGCAGCGGAAGGATTCATTATGCAAATTATGCATTAAGTGATGGCTAGGTCCCATGCTCGGTTATGCTAGAACATAAGCTCCATCAGAGGAGAGACCACATCTGTCACTCACATCCGTGAATCTTCAGGGTCTGGTGCATAGTAAAAATGACTAGATTTTAGGACAGGCCAAGAGCTAGGCAACTTGATATAAAAAGATCAAGTATGGCCCTGGCCAGGTGACTCAGTGGGTTGCAGCGTCATTCTGAAACCAAAAGGTTGTGGGTTTGATTCCTGGTCAGGGCACATACTTAAGTTGTGGGTTCAGTCCCTGGTCAGGGCACATATGAGAGGCAACCGATGGATCTTTCTCTCTCACATCAGTATCTCTCTCTCGCCCCCACCCCCGTGGTTTACCCTCTCTCTAAAATCAAGAAACATATCCTCAGGTGAGGATTTAAACATTAATTAATTAATTGATTGATTGATTAATTTAAAAGATCAAGTATGGATGTCCAGAGAAGCTGCCCTCAGCAACTTTCAAAGCTATAGAGAATGGGCATCACAGTGTCCAACAGGTGGGTACTGATGATAGAATTTGTAACTTCAGAGAACATGAGCACCTTGAGTACTTGCTAATGGTTCTCTAGGAACAGTGGTAAGATGGGCAATTGGGTAAATGAGATCACTCAAGAGTAGGGAGAGGAACTACTATGAGATCAAGCAAACTTGAACTTGCTTCTATCTGAATTTCTTCACACCGGTCTGGTCCGAGTCACACGGGGATAAACAAGAAGGTTGAGATGGGTCTCTCCTCCACTAGCATGGGAATTTAGGTCCCGCACCCACCTTCAGATGTTGGAAGCTGCCTTCGCTGGCCTTCTTTGCATGCCAAGGGACCCCTTTCCCAGCTTCTGCTGTACCCTCAAGTTTCCTTTATTAATTTACTTGTTTATTTCAAAATTTCATAGATTTTTTTAAATTCAAAAGTATAGGTTCCAAAAGTTCAAACATGCCTCTGTTCTGAAAACATGTAAATTTAGGCTGTCATAAACTGGAAGGTAATGTTCATTTCCAAGATTTTCACAGTATTTGGCTCTGTGTAATTCAACATAGGTGACCTACCTTCAGACAAGATAGATGAGCTCAATAAAAATCAGAAAACTGGTTCAAATTTGGAGACAATACTTCATTGGCTTGCTCATTTACACTTGGGTGAATCGCCCTTTTCCAACTTTGCCTGGAGGGAGTTTGCAGTAAACGCAAAAATCATTACAACACTCGTAGTCCATCGATCTCCTCATTTGATGGTTCTTTTGATTACAGCTGTAAATATCAATAATTCTTCTTGACATTAGCTGTGACATCGCCAGAGCATATAACAAGTACATCTGACATTAAAATGTAGCAATAATATCAAGCGTCACTTCTAGGGCAGGAAGCAGAATCATTGTTATCAATCAAATAAGCTCTCTTAACCTTTCCTCAATTGTTCTTACTTATTTGGACCACATTATCAATCTTCAAGTGGTATTGTGATCCCAGTAACAGGCCACAGGCTCTGTGAAACTCCTGTGATTGGCTAAAACCCGCCTCAGGGAACAGAACAGCTGCAGACAGAGACTGGTTTCCTCAGGCACAAATGTGTCACAGAGAAGGTGTTGACTCAGAGGAGGGCCCAGGCAGCGCGCAAGTTGGGAGGCCGAGCTGTTCCAAGTGGAGCCATGGAGAGGACCTGCTTGCTCATCCATCTCACCCTCTTCTGGGCAGGTAAGGCAGATCTTGGAGTCTCAATCAAGTCAGACTGAGCAACAATGAGGCATCAAGAATGCCAGGGACTGCAGCTCATGGACAGTACCTCTTGCTCAGCGATTTCAGCCCCAGTACTCACCAAGCCCCTCTCGTGTCTCTTCTCTCAGGAGCCATGTCAGCTCTGGTGTTGGTAGCTCAAGATCAAGTAAAGACTGTGCCCTTCGGGGGGTCTACCACACTCAGGTACTCAATGCAAGGAGCAGAGATGAGTGACTACTACGTCAGCTGGTACAGGAAGACCCAGGATAGCACAATGACTTACATACACCGAGAAGGGGGCATGTACGGCCCCGGTTTCTTGAACAAGTTTCGAGCTTATACTGATTATTCAAACAACCAGGCTGTGCTTGAGATCCTTAAGGCATCAGAGAGAGATGAGGGAATTTACTACTGTGCCAGTGACTACCACCCTGCTGCTGGCCCACTTCTGAAAAGCACAAAAACCATAGAGATTTATGCAGAACAGTAGTTTTAGCAAGATCATGATTTTCTCCTTAGTACATAGTTTAAGAAATTGGGGCCAGAGAAGGCTTTCCTTTGGGCTCACACGCTCCCATGGTACCCAGATAGGCAACCTCCAGTGCAGCGTAGCCCAGTGTGGGACAGGAGAGAGGTGAGGCAGAGCCCAAGTCAGGAAAGGTAGCATTTACTGTGCACTCTTAACAGGTTTGGTTTTTTTGGTTTCTTTTTTCTGAAGCTTCATAAAAAATTTGGTCACATGGCCAAAGTGTCTAAGGCATAGATTAAAGAGGTACTTTCCCAAGTATGACTAGAGGTGACAGATGTCAGTTTCTCCCCAATCCTATACACCGTGAACCTGGCTGTTCTGCGAGAGGCGGGGCTGGGAAGGTGGGGAGACTCCCTGTCTTCAGCATCAATGTATGCACCGCATGCCATGTTGCCCAACATGGACTCAATCTCCCCTGCATTCTGTACTGTACTGATGATTACTGACTGGTTATGGCTGTTTGACTTCCCTTCCTTCTCTACCTCTTTAATTTCTCTACTTGTGCTAGAAATAAAACCTGGATGCTTTCTTCTTTATTCTTTTTTTTTTTAAAGATTTTACTTATTTATTTGTAGAGAGAGGGGAAGGGATGGAAAAAGAAAGGGAGAGAAACATCGAGCCAAGAAAGAAACATCGATTGGTTGCCTCTCATATATACCCTGGCCGGGGACTGAAACCACACCAGAGGCAAGTGCCCTGACCAAGAATCGAACCAGCGACGTCCCTTCACGGGATCATGACCAACCAACTGAGCCACACTTGTCAGAACCCCATGAGCTTTTATTATTTGTCTCCCCTAAAAGCTACATTTCAGGGAATCTCTCTTTTCAACTCTCCATCTCAAACCCACTCAGTCTGTCCGAGTGTCCTGATTCCACCATAGGCCTGTACCTGGCTTCTACCTACTGCCCCACTCCACTGGATGGTTTCTCTGGTGAAACTGTCTCAAGGTTCTGTGTATTCACTCTGCCCTTGGATAAAATCAGATTCCAACATCCACATCCAGATCAGGCACCATGAGCCCTACATTCTGGGAAGGGACTTTAGATCCAATCTTCCTGGGATGTGTCCAAGTTGCCACACAGGCCCTATCCCAACTGACCCAGCCCTCTACCTGCTATTCATATCCAGTTGTTCTCCTTTGAATCAATGCTAGGCAGGAAGGTGAAGTGCATCTCTGAGACTGAAAGGGTTCAATTCTTCTCCCAATGTGAAATGATAACTTTGGAAAGAAGAATGACATTTGGGAGGCAGCTGGTGGTGCAGATTTGGGGTAAGTTTTGGTACCATGGTGTTACAAGACAGATTCCTAGAAAGAAACCCACTGGGTCCTCTGACAGAGACTGGAAAAGTGTGTTTGAGGAGGAAGAGCAAAAAATAACTGGACAAATCCATGAAACTGTATGTTAGCTGTATAACAACTAACATCTGTTGAGTGCTTACTATATGCCAGGCATTATTCTGAGCTCTTTACGTGTGTTCCATCATTTAATTTTCTCAACAAGCCTACAATGCATTTTCTAGTATTATCTCCATTTCCAAATGAGGACGCAAAGGCACAGAAAAGCTAAAATGCTTGCCCAAGCTTCCACAGCTGGTAAGGGAGAGCGAGAGGTTTCAGACTCTGGAGTCTGTGCTAGAGAACACAGCATGTGGTTCAGTGGAGCAGGGGAACCATAGAGGAGGCCATCTCCAAGATGTGTCCGGAATGAGGGGCAACAGGGGCTGTGTTCTCACCACCAGACCTAGTCAAACTGATGCTCTGTGACCAACTGTCAAGAAACTGGGACAATGGACCAGTGGCCCCAGATGACCTGTCAAATGTTCTCTAACTCTGAGATTTTGTGTTCCTGGCATAAGCTTCCCACTGTCTTCTAAAATCGTCTGTATCTCTTAATCTTTGAAATGATGATAATAATAAGGGTTCCAACTTCACACTAGTGTTGTAAAAAGCCAGTGATAGAAAGTAAGTTAATTGCATGGCCCATATAGCTATTCAATAAATGTTACATATAAGACTAAGCAAACTATACAGTGAAATAATTGAGGAGAAAGTGAGCTATACTACTGAGTGTCAACAAGATGCCACCACTTTTTTTCATCTTTTATTTTTATTTTTTTTATTATTTCTTTCTTATCAAATGTATTGGGGTGACACTGGTTAACAAAATTATACAGGTTTCAGGTGCACAACTCCACAACACATCATCTGTACATTGTGCTGAGTGTTCACTACCCCAAGTCAAATCTCCTTCCACCACCATTTATTTCCTGTATACCCTCCTCCACCTCCCCCAACTCCTCCCTTTCCCCAGTAATCACCACACTAAGGACACAACCATCTTGCAGGTGTGGGCTCACTTAATCTTTATGACAGCCCCATGCGTTGTCATTCTTAGCTCCGTCTTACAGATGGGAGTACTGAGCCTCATCAGATAGACGAGGTAGCTTACCAAAGGTTATAGAAGCAGAGCCAGAAACTGGGATTGAGTTGAAGGCTGCCTGCCCTGGCACTGGGCTAGGGTCTGTGAGATATACTGAAGAAATACATCACCTGCAACAATATCAAAACTAACAGCTAGGAACAAGTGTGTGAAGTCCAGTCATCTGTGAGACGCAGAGGTTGCCTTTGACTCCCTGGCCAGTCCCTGGAAGAGGGGGTGGGGATAGAAATCCCCCCTCCTCCTTCCACCTCCCAACTCTCCCTCCCCTGCTTTAAAACACCAGTTGCAATTTCAGCTTCCAGGCTGCTCTCTGGAGATGCCTCACTCCCTTGGCTGAAGGAAGACAGCGCTACCCAGCTCCCTGCCACATATGCTCCTGAGCACCATCCCAGGTCTTCAGATTTTCTCTGGGGCCATGACATGGGAAATGACCCACATATCTTTCCCTCCTGGTGCTTGCTAAAGGCAATAACTTGTTGGACTCCCAAGAGTCTCCGGGGTGTTAATACATTAACTATCTTCTACTTTCCTTCTTAGGGACCTGCCTATAATGGCAGGTCTAGGGGTCTAGGGCTAGTGGGATGAGAGATGGAAAAATTCCATAGGTCTCTGGCATGTCCATTGAATTGCTAACTTTACCATCCATCTATTTTGGTATTGTGAGGCAAAGTGTCTGAGTTGGTCTTTTCCATTTTCTCTGCTTAATTATCACTTATACCAAGAATGCAGAGGCCCCAAGATCCGTTGTCCACAGTTCTCTGCATTCAAAATGAGCAACCTGACATCAGAAAGCACAGCAGTGAATTAAGGTGCAGGAGCCACCGTGCAAAAGATTTGAGTTCCAACCAAACTTTCTCTGCATTAGGCAGGGCCTGAGCCCGCTGCAGTGTCTTAGGACATGCTATCTAATAAATTACCCACACCGACAAGGTGAAGAATCTCCAGAATTGAGGATTCTTTTGTACTCTTCTTCAATTCAATACATTGCCCTCAACTATTGATTGAAATGACAGGATTATGCATCTCTGATTTTTTTCGGTCAGAGTACATTATTCATTTCTCCAGCAAATGCTCTCCCTCCTCTCTGCTTAATTGTGCTCCATAGTATTTATCACCATTTGATGTGCTCTATACTTTACTTGCTTATTTACTTATTGCCTAGCTCTCCACTGGTATACAGCTCCACGAGGTGGGGATTTTGCCTGTTTTGTTCATTGCCTTAACTCCAGCA